TACAGATATGTATATATCTAAAGACAAATAGTGTGTCCAATGATCCCTGCAGCCTAGTATTTCCACCCTTGTGCCTATTACATTGTACCAGGATCAGTGACCAATAACAAAAGTGATGGTATGTCACTTCTAAGATTATAAAAGGTTATAAAAGACTGGAATCTGTCTTAGCTAATCTCTGGCTTGGGGAAGCAAACTTCCATGTGGTAAGCAGTCCCATTCACAGGCCTCCAGCTAAGAGCCATTAAGGAACTGAGACCTGACAACCATGTAAGCTCAGGCTTGGATTCTCCAATCCTATTTGAGACCTCAGATAATTGTATCTCTGTTCAACAGTTGACTGCAAACACAGCCAGAACCAAAACCCTGCTAAGCTGCTTCCATAAAAGCTGTAAGATAAATGTTTGCTTATCATACTATATGCAGTTTAATTCAATGATAATTTTTAAGTCTACAAGTTAGCTTTGCCTTTTTTAAAAATATGCCTAGTTGGGGCGCCTGGGTGGTTCAGATGGTTAAGCGTCTGCCTTCGGCTCAGGTCATGATCCCAGGGTCCTGGGATCGAGTCCCGCATCAGGCTCTCTGCTCCTTGGGATCCTGCTTCTCCCTCTGCCTCTCTCTCTCTCTGTCTCTCATGAATAAATAAATAAAAAGTTTAAAAAAAAAAAATATGCCTAGTTGGAGCACCCGGGTGGGGTGGTTCAGTCGGTTAAGCATCTGCCTTCTGCTCGGGAAGGGTCCTGGGATAGAGCCCCGAGTGGGCTCTCAGCTCAGCCTGCTTCTCCCTCTCCCCGCCGCTCCCCCTGTTTGTACTCTCTCTCTCTCTGTCAAACAAAATCTTTAAAAAAATAAAAATATCTGCCTGGTTGTTTTGATAGTCTCCTGTTCATTGCAAATGCTTTTGTTTTCTGCTTTGTCTAAAGGTTTTAAATGTCATTTCATATTACACATTCAAGAGGTAAATAAAAATTTTTCTCTGTTTTTAAAGGAAAATGACACCATTTTCTCGTTTCCCTCTTCTAGGAGTGTTTCCTTTGAAAATCCAATAAAAAAAAAAAAAAATCCAAAAGGCCAAACTCCTCACTCCAGCCTTTAAAGAATGTGAAAGATTCTCTCAGTGGTCTGGGCTTTATCCCTTTTGGTATGTAAACACCTAGGAAGACAGAGCTTCACCTTAGGAGCTTAAAGTAGGTATATCTACTTGTTTCTAGGGAAAATAAGTTTTATTATTCTTTAGGAGGAGGACAACTAATTAAACAAATGGCTACCCCAATTCCTGAGTGAACTTAGGGTGAGAGAATGTGAAAAAAACAAAAACTCAACCAAGAAGGATCTGGCCACAAACTGTGATGACAGTCCTCCTACAGAAAACTGGTTACCATTAATCCAAATGCTAAGCAATAATTGTGCTGCCAAAAGGGAAACAGACTACTATTGATCCTAAAGCCTCAGGTTTGTTACATGCTAGCTAAAAACTGCATGGTATAAAAGCATTATAATTAATTTAGCTGTATAAACTGTGTGAGATTTTATTCTGATTGGGTAGTTTCTTGTGAACTACCTATATACAACCACTTTATTGTGCTTAACTCAATAATAGAACAAATTTACTTTCATAATATAGTAAAGTAAGGAGACATCTCTTTCTTGGTAAGTTTCTTACTTCCCCAATGATATCTAATAATTCCAACTCCTATGGCCCTTTGTGGGTGTAATTTTACTCTGTTGTTTTTCATAATGATCTCATGCCTGGCATTTCTTAAGTGTGGGAATCCTGAGAGCCTGGGTTAAAATATTCCTTTGCAGATTTATGTTTGCTTCTGCCAGACACCAGAACACACTGCCCATCCACAACTACTGTGTTAATTTTTCAGCTAGAGGTTCCCCCAGACCATGCAGGTAGAGTAAAATCAAACCCAAAACTGCATGAGGGCCAACCTGCAGTTATGAATTCTCAGGGAACACTTTTTCCTTCCACTCAGTACCTAATGATGTGGAAAACAAAGGCAGAAGAAAAAGTATTAAATTTCCTTACTACCTACAGCCCATTGACAAGTCCTTGAAATAGGCAGAGTGACAGTCCTCTAGGGACTCAACTGCCTCAATGTTAATACTTTGCTAAGTGCAAAAGACAACCCTAGCCCCACCTGCACCCCCAGGATCCTGTAACCCCCCACCCCCAGGATCCTGTAAATCTACTTAACATATGAAAACTCCTTTAGAAACTTCCTTTATCTCTAAATCCCCCAAGATACGTGTTGGCAATCACCCCAAACCCAAGCATATGGCCCACCGATATACATCTGAAGGGTCTCATGACTAAGGTTTTACTAACGGTAATAAATGACCTTTCCCAGCAATAGCTAGCCCCCTCAAGGTCCTGGAAACCTCGCTTCCAAATTCCTTAGAGACTTACGCTATCCCTACCCCCCTCCCAACTTGAAAGTATATAATGGGCCGCTCCTCATGACCCCAGTGCAGCTCTTTCTGCCCCCGGGTCCTGTCCCCGTGCTTTAATAAAACCACCTTTTTGCACCAAAGACATCTCAAGAATTCTTTGTTGGTCATCGGCTTCAAACCCTAATGTTCTTTCCTGCATCATCTAAGGCCAAGCCAGGCAAGACTAACCTGGTTCTTCCCTTTGCTGGTGAACAGACTGTTATTTTATCCTTTGGATTCAAGTGTTTCAGAATTATGCAGGGGTCTCAGCCGAGCTTATTTCCTCACCCCCTTACTCTCACCTTTTATGAGCTTTACTTTCGTTCTGCTGAGCTGCTGCTAAAGCCTAAAGTTCTTTTATTTCAGCAAAAGTCCCTAGGGTGGCCCTAAAGTCAGCTTAAGCTTACCCCGTTCATTTTCAGTTCTTGTTCCCCACCTCACCCCTGCCTCTAACCTGATTTCTCTGACCTTGTTAAATGTTTTGATCTGGAGGGAGGGTATCTTATTACATCTTTTTTAGCCGAAGGGTCTTTAAAAATATGGCATCCATTATGTTGGTAGAAGGAAATATCTAAGGCATTTGCTTTATAATAACTCTACCCCTTACCAGCCACTATCAAACCTATGGGATAAGATGGAGGTAGACAGAACAGATACGACATAGAATAAAAAACAGAATACTATTGTTCTCAACTAATTCTCTTAGGTATCTTGAGTAAACTGTAAGTACTATGTCTCTTCCAAACGTGAATGCATAGATATTATAAAACATAATTTACGGTATCTGCTTTACTAAAGGAATGTGTCAAGTATTTACTCTTGCTGTTATTTCTTTTTCCTCAACTTCCCATTACTTTCAACAAGTCTCTTTATCCACAATGTCCTTAATTAAAAGTATTAAGAACTTGTTTTCTATTCTCTCTTCATGGGAATAAATTTTAAATGATATCAATCAATTCACTGGGCCAAGTGATTTAATGCTACATCTATATGATCTGCAGTATCAGCACAATGCTGATACTCCCCATGAGTCAACTCCCCTATGAGCAAAGACAGTAACTTCTGATATAACACAACAGATTTTGATAGAACTATACCTATTTAAGGACCACGTATTTCTTGGAGGGACATGGGTGAGAATATCAGTACTTGGCTTCTGAAGTACAGGTTAAATTTGCAAGGTATTGCTAAACTTGGTCTTTTAAAAACTTGGTTAGCCAAATAAGCCTACTTCAGGAGTACACCTAAATGCTATCTTGGTCGCTTCCAAAAGCCACAGAAGATCTTGAATAGTGTGATTTCTGCTGTTTCACAGCACCCTTTTGTGGCAGTAGCATGTGCAATTAGAGAGGAGGGATCTGGAAATCAGGACACAGAAAACAAAATAATCCAGTTATATGGAGAGATGGGTGGTCTGGAGCAGATATCATGCTACCAGTGATTTGGAAGGCGTGTAAGGCAATAGTATCTATTGCTTAAATTGGGGGCAGGAGAAAGATTGCCAGAATGTAAGCTCCATCAGAGAAAGAGTCCTCAATGATTTACTCCAGGTACATAATATGCATTCAATAAACCTTTGACCGAATACGGCAGTGCTAGAATATTGGAGAAATTCATTCACAACTTGGGACTGGGAGTCAAGAAGAAGCTTGCCAGTGGAATTGAGTATGTCTGGAAAGGGAGCTAGTTCTGGAGGAAAAGTATAACCGGAAGCTGTGGTATCAAACCTGCTTTCTCATACGACCCCAACCGCATTCTCTTACTTGAACATGTCATTCAACCTAGGTTGGATGAGACGCAAATCCTCTCTAGATTTCCAACAATGCTCTAACCATGTAAAAATGTTTCTTCCTAATGTTGCCTATAAATCCTCCTTGTTCCATACATAAACGCAAGGGAGAGACCGGTGTCGGCACAAAAGCCGGCAAGTGTGCGGCCAGAGCTACAATCCAGTTTCTGCCGCAGCTGCAAGCACCTTCCGCATTCCCCAGTCTTGGCGCGTCCATCAAGGGGAGATTTGAAACATGACTTAAAGTATCAGAGTGAAGGTGAAACAAGAACACGTCGGGAGCTCGGGTCCAACTCTTAAAATTCCTGGTTCCAGGCTATGTATTTTGGGTGTGGCTGGCGCCAGCCGTGGAATCATGACAAAAACTGGGTAAAGGTCGCCAGCTGAAGGCACGGTAGCCAGGAGAGCTCTACGTGCGTCAGAGCTGGGGCGTTCCCCTCCGGACAGGCAAAACGCCCCCCTTAAAGCGCATTACGTCAACAAGCACAAGAGCAGTTACCTTGGCAGGATAACGCCCTCCAACCACCACGAGACTCCGCTCCACCCTCCCCTTGGGTACACCCATGCACACAAGACCAGAACGGTATGTTAACCCTTCCCGGCACCACCTCGTTGTCGTACATCCAACGGCCTGTCGTAACGGCCGGCAAGAGAGCAGAAGGGCACGCACGCGATACATCCTACCCTGCTAGCCGGCATACGCGCAGGTCGTTGGCGCAGGCCCTGGAGACTGAAGCCAATGAGGAGCGGGGACGTTACTACGTATTAGGCAGCGCAGCCGCACGTCCCGCCGCGAGGGGACGGAGAGAGTTCGGTTGCACCAACACCGGTACTTAGGTGCGGACCGGCGTGTCCTTGGACTTAGAGAGCGGGACGTCCGGCTTGCGAGTGGGTACCCTCGTTTCGCGCGCGACAAAAGAGCGGTGAGCGCGCGGCGCGGAGGCCGCAGCGGGCTGGAAGCCGAGGACGGGGGTGCGCGACTGCGTTGAAGGGTGCGCGGGCAGGCCGAGGCCAGCGCCCGGCTTCTGCGGGTGGGGCCCACGCGGAGCCGGTAGGCCCGGGAGTCACGACCCCCGCTTGTGGCCAGCCGGAACCCGGTGGGCTACGGCTTGAGGTGGGGCGGAACCCCAACTAAGTCGGGGAATGACTCGTTCAGGGTCCTGAAAGTCCGGAGGAGACCTGGATGCAATACGACTTGAGGCGCAATACGACTTGAGACCCAGGCTCTCGTAGTCGGGGCTGAGGAGCTGTGGAAGTGACAAGACTTCCCGAGATAAGGGCGGGAAGGTGAGGGACGGCGCGTAGCGCCTCACGTTCTTCTTCAAAGGGAGCAAAAACTGCTGCTCCTCTAAAAAGGGGTCATTTTCCTTCTGGGTCACCTGTCGCGTTTCCCCTCAACCTGCGTAGGTATCTCGGGAAGTTAGGTTTCATCAGTTTCCCTGAAATCGGCCTAATTGGGTGACCTCGTGGTTGACTCCTGAGATCCCAGACTGGAGGATGGGGGTCCCTGGGAAACCTCGCAGCCCACCACTGCCCTCCCACCCACACAGCAAGGCAGTTTATAGTGACCTGAGCAGGCTGGATCAAGCACGACTTGTTTTTATAAAACGTATTCTGACTTGCCAGAAGTTCTTCAATTTGTAGTATGAGTAAATAATTAGGCTTTCTTAAAGGTTGACATTTTGGTAGTTTGGGTTTAATGTAATCATGGTTTTCACTTACTCAGAGTTGTGACTTTTTGTGACCTTGACCTCAACTTTTTAAACAGTTTAGAACTAGGTTCCCACTTTGCTTACTTGGGGTTTAATTCCGTCACTTAAACACACATAGATGTGTATTTCAGGAAGTTCTCCTTCCACCTAGTGGTTTGGGACTAAAGAGTCTGTTGCAAGTGTACAGAGCAAAACAAGATTCACTCTGGTACTAACGTCCTAGATTTGCAATAGATTAGTAATTAAGTCACTAGAGTGACTACTGATTGGTTTCCATTGGATTTTTACATGGAAGAAAAAGGTAATAAATTGAGTCTTTAATTTTTTAGATTTAAAAAATGGGTGATGTTGAGAAGGGCAAGAAGATTTTTGTTCAGAAGTGTGCCCAATGCCATACCGTGGAAAAGGGAGGCAAGCACAAGACTGGGCCAAATCTCCATGGTTTATTTGGCCGAAAGACAGGTCAGGCCCCTGGATTTTCCTACACAGATGCCAACAAGAACAAAGGTAAGGGGCTGGGGGCGGGGGTCAGTTTTGAAATAACAGAAGCACAAATTGCATAAATATAACCAATGGTGAGCCCTTTATCGGGAGTGTAAAATACTTAACAATACATCCCTCCTTGTTTAGGCATCACCTGGGGAGAGGAGACACTGATGGAGTATTTGGAGAATCCCAAGAAGTACATTCCTGGAACAAAAATGATCTTCGCTGGCATTAAGAAGACAGGGGAAAGAGCAGACTTGATAGCTTATCTCAAAAAAGCTACTAAGGAGTAATAGTTGGCTATTACCTTATTTATTGCAAAACAAAAATGTCTCATGACTTTTTTTATGTGTACCGTATTTAAATTGATCTCATACACCAGAATTCAGATCATGAATGGCTGATAGAATATTTTTTTTTTTTGGACAGTCCTGATTTAAATAAGATTGGCTTGTGGTTAAATGAATATGATCAGCTTTTTGAACTTTGATAGTAATTCTGGTTCAGCAAGTGCAGTCACTTTTCCCCTTCTTAAAATATGATTGGAATTGATTAGTAATGTTCAGCTTTTCACAGAGATGGTAAATGCCATCTCTAAACTTACAGGAGATTGGTTTTATATTTAGATTTATATAACTGGTTATATTAATATATTTAAATACTGAAGAAATCCCTTCACTGTCTCAGAACCAGCAAGACTCAGCTGTGTTTCAAGTTGTGTTTGTTAGCCTGTAACAAGGGTTGAAGATAAGCTGGCAGTGTCCACTTTATCTTTTTGGTCTTAACTATGCCAATTTAATTAAAATTCTCTGCATCTAAAATGTTGCCTTTTGCTTAATGAAAGGCATTTTAGTGTGGTTTATGTTTAATATTAAAGAATAACACTTCTCACATTTTATAGGTGATCTATAAGGTCAGATGCTTTTAAAATTCAGTGTGACAATATTTAGCAGACTTAGCTTGTGAATTCTGTACTACGACTAAGTTATAATTCAGAATTGTCTTCTAAACAGCTATGCAAAGACACAGCTGTGGAAATACCATATATGTATGATTGGTAATGGTGCTTTTGCCAACTTGTTAGAAGGATTAAAATAAAGAGATCTATCATCACAAATTTGTAAATTATGTGATGAGGCTTAAGATAATTAAAAACAAAATCACAGATCGTGATTTTTCTAATGTGCCTGATTTAATGACTAATGCCAAAATTTTGAGTAAAACCATTCTAAGTACTTGGGGAGCAGTGTTACTAGTTATAGCACTCAGTTGTGTTTACTTAGTCCTCTAGGACACCCTGAACTAGAACAACACATCAGTAATTTATCTTTAGAGTTTCCTCAGCCAGAATGAGCACTGGAGTGTTTATGTCAAATGTGGATAGGATAAGGTGCTTCTAGTCATAGTTTTGAGGTATATAACTGTATAATTTGTGTACCAAGTTATTTCATACGTGGTCCATGCCATACGATTTAGAGTAGGCCCTGGAGGTTTTATGGAGATGGTGAAATTCTCAGTGAAGGAAATCTGGTGGCGATGAGAGCCATCTCTGAGACAAGGAGACTGGGAAGAGGCTTTGTTAATGGTTTCAGAGGTGATGGTGATAGCCTGTTAAGGCTTGACAAAGCAATTTGTAACTTAGGAATCTCATTTTTAATCATCAGAGAAATGTAAGTAAGCAAAGAAGTCAGGAAACATGCAGAAACAATTTGGGAAAGCAAAAGAAAGCCTGCTGTAATGCAGAGGAAAGGCCTATGTAACAGAACTTGGTAACTGCAGAAGTCAGTGGTATTCAGAGACAGTACAGCAATTTAGTTTATAAGAATTATAGATCGGGTGCCTGGGTGGCTCAGTTGGTTAAGCGACTGCCTTCGGCTCAGGTCATGATCCTGGAGTCCCAGGATCGAGTCCCGCATCGGGCTCCCTGCTCGGCAGGGAGTCTGCTTCTCCCTCTGACCTTCCTGCCTCTCATGCTCTCTCTCTACCATTCTCTCTCTCTCAATAAATAAATAAAAAATCTTTTAAAAAAAAATTATAGATCATTAATGGGAAGACTTGGAGGCCAGGGAGTTGATTTACTTCTGTGCCTCCTACATCAACTAAAGCCTATGTTGGCAGAGATAATTACTAAGTACCTGCTGTGTTCTAGGCCAGTTGTACTCATTAAGTGCCCCTGGTGATTTATGTATAACGTTTAAGTGATCTACAGTTAATTCGGAAGTGAGATTCCCAGCTATGAAGTATATATGCTTTCTTAGAAATAAAGAGGACAGGGACGCCTGGGTGGCTCGGGTCGGTTAAGCATCTGCCTTCGGCTCAAGTCATGATCCCAAGGTCCTGGGATTGAGTCCCTGCTCAGTGGGGAGCCTGCTTCGCCATCTCCCCTGCTCTTGCGTGCTCTCTCTCATAAAATCTTAAAAAAGAAGACAAGAGCACTGTCTAACCCATGTTTTCATTCCTATTGCTCCATTATAGGTGGCTTGGTGCTATCACAAGTGAGTCAGGTTTTTAAGGAGTGTTTCCCAGGTGCCACCTACACTCTGAATTTTGCCTAGAACAGCACTGTCCAGTAGAATTTCTGTGATGATGGATTGTACTTGGGCTGTCCAGTACAGTAGCCACTAACCACATTTGGCGATTAAGCCCTTGAATTATGACTAAATTTACATAGCCATAGATGGCTCATAAGATTGCTGTTGAGCATTGACATCTGTGAAAGCACTTAACTGGTGAGCACTGGAATATTTTTCATTTTATAGCCATGTCAAATTCCTTGAAAGTCAGAGTAAAAATTTACCTCTTCAAGGTTGCAGTGGTCGAATTGTCCTATCTAGTGTTCTTCCGTATTCTCAATTAGCTCTGATGATCTCTATGACTTTTGACACCCTTGACTGCTCTTATTTTAATCTCCCTTGGTTTAAGTAGTTTCACACTCAATGTGGAATAAAACAGGCATCGTAAAATCTTTACACACTTAGCTGTAATCTGTTGCTAACCCAAATTCATTTTTTTAACAGGACATTTTGGCCAAATTCTAGCCCTATAACTCGGATTGCTTTATAAAGTTCATTCACTTCTCAGCTTTACTACCTCATAAGGTGTATGGAACAAGTATCTTTCCTATTTTATATTTAAACAGGCTCAAGAGAGTTTTCTGTCAAAGGTCACACAGGCATTACCTTGGAGTAGTATCACATGAACTGACCCTGCCTTTTTTACACTGTCTTCTAAAGCTCCATCTCCATTTAAACCGGGTCATCTATTAGTCTCTACAGAACTCACACTTCCTTTTCTTACTAAAGACTGCGTTCTCCAGGGACGCTTGGGTGGCTCAGTCGGTTTAGCTTCTGCCTTCGGCTTAGGTCATGATCCCAGAGTCCCGGGATTGAGTCCCACATTGGGATCCTTGCTCAGTGGAAAGTGCTGCTTCTCATCCTTTCCCCCTCATGCTTTGTCTCTCTCTCTCTTTCTCAAAATCTTAAGAAAAAAAAGACTGCCTTCTCCAGGTGTCTAAACCTCTGCAGTCCTTGCGGGTGGTGCCTGCTTGTCCTTTCACGCTGTCCACAACAGAGGCCATTGTGGTCTTGGCATCTTCCAGATCATTACTACTCTTCTCACAGGCAGAACTACCTGTGTGAGATTCATGACATCTTTGTGGATCCTTTTCTGTTTTCTGTACTCCCGGACGTTCACTACATAAACTGAAAATTTACATACTCCATTCCAACTCTTAAAAAAATTATACTGGTAATAACTACCATAAAAGTGAATGAATGACCTGTCCTTAATGCAACTATAACCTCAAAAAAATTTTTTTTAAATTTTACTTGACAGAAACAGTGAGAGAGGGAGAAGCAGGCTTCCCAGGGAGCAGGGAACCCGATGCAGGGCTTGATCCTGAGACCCTGGGATCATGACCTGAGCTGAAGGCAGATGTTTAACGGCTGAGCCACCCAGGCACCCCTATAACCTCAAAATTTTTTACTTGATTTTAACTCAGTGCTTCTTTCTCCTCGTTGCAACTTAAACTTGTCATTACTCCAGAACTACTCCACTTCTGAAATTTGAAATCCTGTTATACAGCCTCATACTACTCCATGTCTCTCTTAATCTCTATTCTGTTGCCTTGAACAACTCAAAACCCCAGTCCCTGATCATTCCCTTGTGGCTTTCCTTCCTTAGCCAGCTTCTGTATCTTTTCAATCACTGCATTGCCTGCACCCTCTACCATTGTCATCTGTGTTGCTTTTTGGGGCATCTGCTCTATGCACACCCAGCCTGGGAGCAGCCCAGCTATCTGATTTCTCCACTTCCACACCCAATCTGAGCATTACTGGAGAAAATCACACACATCTGCCAGTTGGCACACTGTTGTAAACCTCTGATTCAACTGAACGAGCAGACATCCAGCACAACTGTCATATAACCATTCTTTCCCAGTCTTCCTCATGGTTATAAAATCATGCTCCTCAAGCTTATCTCTCCCCTCCCCTCTCGCAGTAGATCGATGACCTTGCCTCCCATTTCAGATACGAATTCTTTACTTCCTGACTACAAGGAAGGGTTTTGTTGTCTCCCATCCCCCACCTTCAACAGTGTTCTTAATTCAGATATGGTTCAGAATGTTCAGTTACATCAACAGGAGCTCCAGATGTGTCCCAATTTCCAACCCTCTGTCTTCTGCTTTCTCTCCCATAGAAGTTTGAAGAGGTAAATGCTTGTTTTCATTTCCATGCAGGAGCTTCACTTTGGGACCCATACTCCAACAGAACAAATACACTTACGTTCTGGAAGTTACAGCTTTTCTTAGTTTAATGAAATTGTAGCTCGGCTTGGGTAATATATCTGAACCAAGAGATTAAAAATCTTTACAATTTTGGGAGGATAAGGGAAATCTATAGGTTTTCTAAGTCACCCGCCCTGAGTTGGAGCATATCATATTGTCAGATAAATTTTACTTTTGGTGAGTGTTGGAGGAAGACAGCCCAAGGATCTGAACCCTCTGCTGATGGTGCTTAATGGACTCCTGCACAGTAACACTTCTGTGCCTTAAGTTAACTCATCTGTAAACTGACATTAGTTACAAACAGCCCTGAGGGTTGGTGTAAGGATTAAACAAGAGAATGTGTTTAGCATGCTGCCTGACACTCTACACACTGAAATGATAGCTAATTTTTAATTGGATGGGCAGTACAATTTATTAAGTTAATAGCTGGACAGATTGCATGGAAGGGACACCAAGAGGACTCCTAACTGAAGTGGTATAATGGAAGAGAAGTGCCTAGAATCAGATTTGTATCCATGACTCCAGACCATAATTGTAGTAACTCACTCACCGGGTGATGCCTCATTCCCTATTCGTGACCAGGAACAGGAATCAGTGAAGAGCAACGTCCATCAATTCCATTTACCTTTTTGGAGGGAGGTCTGAGATGTGGTCAAAGGATTAAATGGGCACCTAATTTTCATACACTTGTGTGTCTAGTTTTTCCAGCAACCTAATAAAGACAAAGTTGTTAATGCCCTACTTATTGGGATTATGCCAGTCTGCCAACTTCTGAATCTTTAAAGGTAATTTCAGCAAGGAAGGAGACAAATCAAGATGGGACCATGTGCATTAAAGGCAGCTTAGAGGGCCTCCTAGGTGGCTGTCGGTTAAGCATCCAACTCTTGGTTTCAGCTCAGGTCATGACGTCTCGCTCCTGGGATCAAGCCCCACGTTGGGCTCTGCACTCAGCTCGGATTCTCTTTCCCTCTCCCTTCTGCTAACTCTCTCTCTCAAATAAGTGATAATAACAAAGGCAGCTTAGAGGACAATGTTTAGGAGGCTGACTCCAGCCCTCCACTGTTCCACCTCCCAGGATTTATCTGGAGGCTTAATCCAGGTCATAGTAGGATACCACCAGCAAGTCCCTTGCCTGTGAAGAACTAGTGCTTCTGTTTCCTGTCTTGGCACAGCGGTTACAACTTGTCACGAGCAATATTCGGTAGGTGTATTTTTAAAGAATGTTGAGTCTGGAAACCAGCACCTTGTATAATTCTTGGATGGGTCATGTGTGATGTAACAAAATATCACTATTCTAGCCAAACAAACACGTACCCAGGTTAGAGACAGTATGGGAAGAGATCTGTGGGAAAGATTATTTTTTTAAAGATTTTTATTTATTTA